GATGCTGATTTTAGCCAATATTCCGTTCACATTTCACACATGGCAACTCTGATGAGTAATTGGGGGTGCGTCTCTTCGTGGAATCGAGGCCAATGTATCATCAAGTAATTGGGGACTGTGACAGCACGAGATGAGGACATATTCGGCTTGACATGTCTGTCGAAATGTATGGCTGTACCATTTTTCTCTCTGTGCTTATTTTGGTGTGAAATTCCACCACGGAGGAGCATGGCGGACAAAAATAAAATAAAACGCTGACAACCTCTATTGCCACAACCGTTGGCATTTTGGGGTTAAATGAGTTGGCGCCTGAAAATCAATAAGGTCAAAGGTCACTGATGAAGTGACATTATCAACACTTACAAAACTACAGGTCAGTCAACGACTTGGTTTCCATGGGGACCGTGGAATTGAATAGTCTAGTCGGAGAGCGTCTTTGGGGCATTTGAGCTGACGTCAGGATTTTCAATATCATCCGTCGCCACACTATATCGCAGTTACCTTGCTACAATCATAATAGCTGAAAATCTTTCCGACATATTCTGCAACCGGTTTTTTGGGTTTTTTTTAGAATATCTGGTCATTATATATAAAACATGAAGAAAAATCTTAGTTTGATTTTTATTTTATTTTGAAATTATGTCTTTATTCAGTTCATAAACATGATGATATTAACACACGAATCAGCAACTAATTAAAAATAGTTTTTTCTTTCTTCTTACATAAAAGGAAATCCTCCATGAAGAACTATTTATAACAAAACCGATTTACATTCCTATCTGGAAAAGGTATAATAATAAGCAACTATTTGTACAGTCATACATATTCATACATTTGTATCAGTAGAAAAATATCCTTAAGTTCTCTTTTGCTTCATGAATATGTGAGGTTAAATAATAAAATAACACATAAAGGGCCAAGAGGTTTCTCTTCTGTAGCCACAAATGAGACGTTGAAGACTCAATGGAGTGTGAAGAAAATACAATTTTTCAATTTTAAGCGGAATATGTCTGCATTTGTGTGATTATTCATCATATAAGCACTACCAGGAAAGAAGACTTTCATAAGTCTATGAAAACAATATCATTCACTCAACCTTTTGTACAAGATTGTTTAAGCTCCGTAATAGAATACACGATGTGTGTAACCTATGAACCGCGATAGCGCCAAGAGGGTGAAAGACAGTTTTTTTTTTATACGGTACCGACAAGTTAATATATGTTTTAAATGATAATCTCTCATCTCATCACGTAAAAATTTGTACATTAAAAGCATTTTTTAAAAGTTTTTTATACCTTAAACAGTTAAGTTTGTAATATATTGCGTACACCCGAGTTATCGGTCTAGTAGTGTGTATAATGTATTGTCCTATAGTTCAAAGACTACTGGTCCGGAGTTCGACACGACACGGTTTGGCATCGTAACAGTAAACCCGGACCAGAAATAATTATTAGATACATATAAAATGCAAAAGTGATTGAATTATGGGGGAAATTCACCTCTTCATCTAGATTTTGACTTTTCTTTCGAAGCCCTTGGCATCGATGACGAATCCTGGAAGGACGAAACAGCTGTTTGATGTAGCATCATTTATGGGTCCTATAAGGACAAAACAGCTGTGTTTGGTTTGTTTGGTTCTGCAGTATCTAACTTTAAATTTAAATTCTAATTTGTTATACTTTCACTATGACTATGAAGTGATTTATCAAATTTCTATTTATTCGACGTCAACTGTACATACAGAGTAACAATGTCTTTTTTAATAAAAAAAAAGCGATGAAGCCGTGCTAGAATGATTGTATGAGTGGGATTCCTGGTGTTAATGTTTAAAAATACTAGTAAATTCGTAGGTTTATCATCGACAAAAAAAAACATGCTTATATATTTCAAGTGAAAATTCATTTAAATTGTTTTCAGAATGTGCGTCTTTTTTATTTCCGGTCATAAAGAAAAAAAATCGCAAACACAAACATTTGTATAATACAAACATATAGAAAACTAAGGACTTACTGCAACAATCACACTTGCTTAAATATTTTGTATTGAATATTCATGAAGAGTGTTACATAAACCTATCAGGAAGTTTGAATTAATTATATTGTCCAATCAGAATTATCAAGCTGAAACTGAGAACCAGCTTCATAATATCAATATTTGTAGGAACTCTAATATCATCTGTAGCAAGATATGTTTTCATTTATTTTACGGTTTTATAAAGATAAGAAATAATCATAGACCTATTCGTAAATCTGCCATCATTTTGAATTAAAAGTATTTCCTTTTGAACAGAAAAGTATTGAGTCTTTTTTTAAATATTTCTAGCCTCTCTTTTTTTTTTTTTTTTTTTAAGCAAGAAGTAATTTGCCGTGTTATACTTGGCTGTTGTGTAACATAATAACTATTAATCCATTCAATTATATCATTTTTTCACAACAAAATATATATATAAAATATCCTATCACCTGTGGTGAGAGCATGAAGTGCCCGATTCGATACTCAAGGTCCTGTTTCCAATATCACCATCTCCGTGCTAGATTTTGTTACTTAACGGACAAATTCCTCACAAAGGTTTCCAAAACATGCAGGTTCAAGGAAAATTTGGGGAAGGTTTACGATCTTGTATCCCTTGTTCTCGTTTCAGCACGTGACTTATTGGGATTGACCAAGATTTACACGGGGGGTGAATTTTATGAAGCAGAAGACTTGTACTCTTCCGGAACACCTGGTCTTATTATCTTTGTACATTTACAAGAATCTCCATGTAAATCATTGAATTTTTAAAATATTTTGCATTAGTGTTATGGAATTTGTTGGAACATGTTGGTATTTTATTGTTTAAGCTATAAAATGCCACTCCCACGCAAAATAAGCTCGGTAAAATTTAATCCAATTTTTTTCGGAACATTTTGTCGTACGTATGTCCTTAAGTTTTCTTGTTTTTTTCGGTTTTTTTTTTGAGAAACAATAACTTCTTGGGAAATGCAGTTGGGAAAAAGTAAACATTGAAATAGATTCAAATATCTATTTTTGATTCGACTAATAAAAATTAACAAGGAAAAACATTAACAAACTTTTACGAACATTAACAATATTTGTAAGTACCAAGAAAACATCTCTTGTAAATAATGGTCAGTTTAAGCTACACCTAAAAATATGAATTATTATATAACGTCACCAAGCTTTTAACATATATACTGAAACAAGTACCTATAAAAACACAATTGAAACCAATATTTGATTCATCGTAAAGCTAGTACATATTGTATTAAAGTATTTTTTCACAACAGGAACCAGCAACCTGGAACCGGAAGTAAGACAGATGGGCTCGAGATGTAATATATATATATTATATATTATATATATATATATATATGTCAGGATTTAAATACAAATTTCGGACACAAGCGAAGATACGACCTGTAGGCGCTCTGTACATGAAAACAGTACATGTGTATACATGTAATATACTTGTTTCGTTCAAATATGATTTGTTTCAAGCAATATAATTTGCCATTGGAAAGGGTATATACATATGCAAATTCACAATGACGTCATACAATGTAATATATATCACGAGCATTTATGAGATTATTTGAATTCCAATAAAACAAATCTTGAATTGAAAACGATACAATTCTTGCGATTGTGCACAGCTTTCTAGTAACACAAGAATCGCCTATTCAATTTATCTTTCTCAGATGATATTATGCGAGATTTCACGAGAACTCAATGAATGAATCACGTAAGCAAAACTGAGTTGATACACGATACCCTTGGAGGACTCGAAAATGAAGCACATGAGCAGGAGCAAAAAGACATACTGCATCTCACGATCTCACGAGAACGAGAGTGATTGTGGAGACGAGATTAGGCTAAAATCTACAAAACAAATCTCGCGAGAACTTAATTCCTGACGCACTACATAATGCAAAAACTCACATCTTGAGGGGTCAACGATAGTGTAAGAACATGTAGGAAATTGCAAGTATGCAATATTAGAATTCAAAATATTGATGAATATCTATTCTGTATATTACTCACACTGTCATCGCTTTTGAGAATAATATTCACTTTTTTTATTTCACAATTCACCCTATTTCGGTATCGTTCTACATACATGCTGTATAAGTAACTTGATCATATAATCACGAAGCAAATCCTGAATCTACCAGGTTGCCAAGGCAACAAATGACGTCAAACTTTGTTCTGTGCAACTCAATCACTTACTAGGATTGTTTCAGGTGCCGTAGGAGAAGAATTGTGATCACAAACGGTGTCCGTTTCCATTTTTACACGCGAAGACGTCACTCTTTTGAAGGCAGGAAGTGCGATGATAGAGCTAATTTGTAGAGGTTTGTCGGAAGATGTTCTCCAACGGTAACCTTGGCGACTATCAGAGAAACGTTTGAGGATGTCTACTAAAGTGGTGTTTGAGCAGTTGGTAAAGATTTACAATATTAACTATAAAGTAAGTTCCGAGATGCACCTGCATTTCTATAAGCGTAACTCAACTTGCACAAGTACATACATGTTTGAATGCAAGATGTCGAAGTACAATGTAACTTCCGGGGATGCACTTAGACATTTTTCCTCTCAATTGTTCCGAAAAAAATCGATCCTCCGTCCTGATAAGAAACCATTCAGGCATTCTTAGTCTAACTCATTTTCTATTCATTTATTACAACGTCGTAGGCATTTTAACCTTGTGTTAGAAACCATTTTAAATTAATGTTAACACCACTATGCGTCCAATATTCTCTCTTGGAACACTTAAGTTTAAGTAACGTCGACATCCAACAAGGAAACCGTGATATGATTTGTGTTGCCATGTCAAACATACCGAAGCCTACGTTCATGTTGCCGTTAAGCTGTGTTTGCTAATGGCGAACAGAATTAAGGAAGCGGAAAAACGGCAAGTAACAATGGATCGACGACACGGCAAGCCGGATATATCGTGACAACAGTCAACGATGCTATTGACGGAGTACAACAAATGTATCCTATAGTGCGGTTTCATCCGCGGTCAGCGCTGTCTTGCCGTTTTCTGTTGGCAGTGTCATATATTGTGAACAGTCTCGGTCAATGGGCATGGGAGCTCCCGTGAACATCCTTTTGAAGGTTTCACGAAACTGTCTAGACATTCCGCAGTAAATGAAAAAGTTCAATGGGTAACTCAACAAGATGAAGAAATTAGATATCAAGTTCATGATCCCATATGTGTCAGCCATGGAAAATATGTTGAGTTCAAATGTATTGTCTATCAAGTAAACTATCATGATTATTCCTAGCGGAAGTTCAACCAGCAGGAATAGTCCCACCACAGCCACCAACATTAGCGTGGTACAGTTACTGTCTTTTAATTTCTTGCTCTCACTCTTTTTATTTTGTTTTAGCAACTGCATTCGACGCAACTGTGCAGTTCGCATGGCTGAGATAAGCAGAGCATTGAGAACCACCAGGAAAGCACACGGAATAAGATGTATACAAATCACTCTGAACCAATAGTATACGTTATAATACAAATCAATGTGAGCCTGCACCCATGGCCTTAATTCTTGAACACACGCGGTCATCGTCTCGTTCTCATGCATTCGTGACATGATTTCTACCGGTATATAGAAAGAATCGAAGAACCGTGATATCTGACTAAGAATAGCTATGATGTAGATTGCTAATGTGCCATAAAGAACGTTGGTGATTGTGCACCATTTCCGGGCCTGGAAACTATGACAAATGTAGATATACCTTTGAATTGCTAACGCCATAGTGAGCCAGATCGAAGCGGTATGGAATATTGTAGGGATCAGTTCCGACATAAATCTGTATGTGTAGCACCAGTTATAGGGGATGTATTCCTTGTAATGGTCCATGCCAAAAAAGTACAGGAAAACAGGCAAGGGAAATAACCCTGTAAACATATCCGATAAAGCCATCCCTGCTAGTATTGTATTTGTTGGAGAGCGCATATTTTTCTTCAGTAAAACAATGACTACGAGAGTATTTGTCACCAAGGTGATGAAGATTAGTACAGGTGAAAAGTATCCTAAAAGCGGAACCGCGTAGCGTATCGGGAACGAATTTGTCAGGTCAAGAACATATGGCGCTATATCTACTGTCACATTTTCGAACGAATTGTTCACCATTTCCGTTCCTTCCGCCATTTTGTAACTTGGATGATGAAACGGCAGCTGAAAATAATAACAAAATATGCTTTAGGAAGGTGAAGTCAAGTAATAGAGAATGCATTTCAACGAGTGATGAGTGATAGGCAAATTATGTTGATTTGATTGAGTAAGATGAACGTCATCATGTATAAAATTTCATTACTGACAAAAAAATCAGACGCCTTACATGCTGTGAAGCGTGTTTCGAAGATTAACAAAAGCTACATTTAAAAAGGATGTTAATCGTTAATGTGTTTTTGATTTTTATCAATTTCATTTCTCATTTATATGATACATCACAGTTCAATGATATATCACATTTGCATGATACATCCCACTTTTGTTGTATTGATACATTACAACTCAATGATACATCTCAATTTCATGTTACATCACAATTTCGTCATATATCACAGTTGAATGATACAAAAGAGTATAAATACACTTCAGAATTTAATGACACGCCAAATTTCGATGAAACAGCATGAATTAGTACACTATAATATGATGAAGACAAGATACTATAACATTAACTGTTATTTAGCTCACCCGCTTGGTAATCCTATTACACTGCAAAGGATGTAGTCTACCCAGCAGATTATATTACTTTGTTTATTAAAGCATCGTATGGAAGTATTAGAATGAAAAACAAATTGAAATAATAAAGGAAAAAAAATCCAGACTCCGAGCTCTTGATACAAAAGTGTAAAATTCTTGTCAGAAAATTGCGGAAAATACTTTACCGTAATCACAGACCTTGTAGTTTCGCTGTAGATATTGAAATAAAATAGCATTGACGAGACAAACATTCAGATATCGACCCGTTAAACACTACAGCACAACTGTTTAAATTCACAAACTAGTATACGGGCCCCAGATAAATTTGTAACAAGATTTCATCGTAACCTATGTTCATTTACGAGGAGATAATCAAAGTTTAATTATAACCCCGGTACAAACCAAACACATTAAAAGCACTGCCCTTGACGTTAATCAAATCGGGTTTCTAGCCTCGATGCAAATTGAACGCCCGCTCACATCAACATCGATTAGAGATCGTATTGGGCCCAGTTTCTGTTAAGTATGTGACTACATGTAACGTTGACGTCAATAAAAACATGTTACTAACCCTGATGCAGTGTTAGTATATTGGTACATACAGAACTGGTGTTAGTGAAAGCGTTTTTCAAACGTAGATCAGTATTGTAAAAAAAATATTGACGTCTATAAGTGTTTGAAGTGTATTGCTGACCCGGATGTAAATTAAAGACCTTAATAAACTGTGATCAAAGCGTGTATTTAACCCTGATGATTATCAATTCTGCCACTAATGGTGGCACTGATCAAAGCGTATTTTTAACTAAGATGATAAACTGAAATGCTTCCACATTGGTTTGTAGATTGGTAGATTTGTTGCCCTTTATCAGTGTTAGGTCTTGTACAACATCGTTTTCTTGACGTTATGACGTCATCTAAAGTAGAATTTCTCGTACATTATTAATTCTCGCGCGTGAGAGCATGCGTTTCAATTATGTCTATCGATCAATTTGCTTTGAATTCAAGACTTGCTTTTACGGTACAAAAAACTGGGAAAGAGCATGAAGAAGGTTCCATCATTCTGCTGTTAGAATTAAAATTTTATGTCGTAAATAAGTATATATGAAATATCAACACATGTAGAAAATGCATGCCCTAATTACAGAAAAAATAATACAGTTGTGGATAGCACAAGACCGGAAGAAAAAAGAAAAAGAATCGTACATCGTCCGTGTTTTGTTTGTACATCACGCAGACTTTTTCCGCACATCGTCTGAAATGTGTAATACGATGCAGAAATATGTGATTGTGTTGCACAAAAGCTTCTGACCATTCGGTTGATTAATATCCCGAATTGGACAATGAACATAAAACATTAAGTGACTACGTGTTATTCTCATACAATCGCATCGAGGTTTAATATTACAGACATTAAAACAAAACATAATGTGGAAATGCTGAGTTTGTATCTGATTTAATTAACTTTAATCTCCATAGCAACCTAAAATGATTTTAATCCTTTATTTGACCACCTTATAGAATTAAACATTTTAAAAAGACTATGTTTAGATAAAGACATTTTCGAAGATGCTTCTCATGATTAAGACGTAGGGATGTTTCATTTTTGAAATTTTCATTCAAATATCCAGTTTTTTTGGAAGAACAATAATACACCAGCTAAAATATTTGGTGTTACGGTCCTTAAAATCTGGGAGAATGGTTGTCCAAGTCGAAATTGACGAGTTTTAAATCTGTGATGTGTGGCGATAAATCATTAAATCTATTCCAGACGGTTTACCGCGAAAATTACCTTAGCCCGCAGAAAACACTAAAGTTATTGGCGGTTTTAACCGAATCACGCCGTCAAAAAGAAGCCTACACGCAAAACGTCTTCTTAATGCCATTAAACTTTTAAGTATAACTGTAACAAAAAGTCCAAGAAATTGAGTTTGAATTCCAACTTAAGATACGTTTTTTGAGAGAAAACAAAACCAGGAAATGAATTTTTACTGATTTATGCAATATTTTGTTAAAATTGCAATGAAACAAAATGTGGCTAGATTTCAATTTATAAAATTTGTAATTTCTATTGTTTATTTAATGAAGGTACCCCATGAAAGAAGAATCACTATTTTAGTCAATAAAGCATGTGTCTGTCTCGAGCATTGATACAGACTGTGCAACGTGGTCTCATGGAATTTCTTGGAGTCTGCAAGGATGCCTGGTGCAATTTGTTCTTTTCCTGGAGTCTCTGTCCCAGCTGTGCCACCGTCAACGAAACTCCAACAGCAGTGTTTTTTCTCCCGATTTCATCCCACACATGTTCTATGAAAAAGACGGCCAAGTGAGGACATTAACATTAATCTGTGAAGGAAACCCATACTGGAGCAGTGTGGGGACGGGTGTTGTCCTGCTGGTAAAACTGTAGTTTCGGCTACCGATCTGTTAGCCTGGAGGGCACAACAATCGGCGTAACGTTCGTTACGTCGCCGCCACACACGCAATCGGCCATGAGCATGGGAAAGGTGGAATCGAGACTCGTCTGCGAAGAGAACTCGCCAGTCAACAAGACGCCATTATGGATGATACCTTGCCCATTGAAGTCCATTGGTTGCTGTCGATGGCGCTGAGTAAGAATAGTCCCTGTATAAGTACGTCGGCAGTTTATGCAATGTTTGCGTAGGCGACGCCAGACGGTCTCGGCGGACACTAGGCGTCTTTTAACTCTGATAGCGGCTGCTGTCATGGTTGCAGTCTGGGTCTGGTTACGAAGGTGAGTAACATGAATGTAGCCATCTTAGGCCTGAGGTGTTACCCTTGGTCTCCCCGTCCGGGGAAGATCACAAACAGAACCCATATGATGAAAACGCACGGCAAGCCTGGTGATAGAGCTAACATGACATTCCTAGCTCCTGGCTACAATAGTGGCGGAGGTACCCGCTTGCAAACTTCCAAGAGTCAATTCTCTATTCAATTGTGTTAATAGTTGTATCGTGTTTCATGAGCATTATTCACGCTACCTTCACTGAATGAATGTCTTTGGGACGGACCACTTTATAAAGGACATGTCTCGATGATAACTCACCTGTATTGGTAACACCCGTGATTGCACGTGCAAGATTTGCGATTTTACGCATTGCGCATGTGTCGGTGTGAACAGTGTCGGGAGTGAATAAAAAGCACGCTATTTCATCATTTACATTCAAAATTACATATTATTGATATTAGTAGTAGTATACAAAAGGTCACATCTAAATATTTGCACGTGACAATCTACTTGCGTTGTAATGGGATTCAGTATATATAGAATTATGTCTTACTTCCGGTCAAGTGTTAAATGAAGATATCCTTTTAGGATACACAAACGAAGTTAAATTGGGTACGATGAAGTCAAACGATGAATCAAGCTGTTTCTTTCTCCTATGAATTATCAGCAATGTCCTTAATATTAAACCTACGAGACGTGTAACGAAAATACAAAGTGATCGGGGGAAATGTCAAACGCTTTTGTCACATCATGCAGAAATCATCCACACATGGTGCAGACAACTTTAACACATCGTACATAGTGTAATCTTACAACTATTGCCGTCTTCAGAATAAATGCAAATTATATTATATGCTGAGAACAGCGAAAAGGAACCTAGTGCAAAAGGAGACGATAAATTTACCCTTTTTATGGTTCGGTGATCTCACTGGAGTTTATTTTATTTTCTAAACAGCTTGGCCGATAAACGTAAATAAACGGCCAGAATTATATATACTGAAACGGCCGTCATTTCATCGGTGATTGCCATTACATTGACACTAAATTGCAATATTTACAAAGCTACGTATTGTTATCAAACGTGACGTAAGGTGTTAAGGTGACTAAATATTCAAGTAGATTGAACTTAATGAAATAAAATACCTTATATATTATCTATCGGAAATGACGTATTTTTATTGTGACGTAACAATATCGAATGTCTTTTTTTCACCATTTTTCATATATAAAGGTTCCGTTCGATTGAGAGTCAAGTTTTTTTCGCTTATAATTTCGACATTAATGACGCATTGAGTTTCGGTGTCCGGCCTTAATTGTCTTAGCTAAAGCATCGCGACGATAAGGATGTTATGGTCAAACACAATATTCAACTTCATAACTCGCAGCTGACATTGATAGGCTTAGGAGTGGTTGGACGAAGAAAATGTAACTGCATATTCTAAAGAGGTGAAGAGTATACACTTTCACAGACCGTTATACCACTGAAATAGCTGTTCTCTGTAGATAGACTGACATTTGTTATCTTCCTGGTGTCTGAATCACAGTACGATTTACATACCGCAACAACACTCGGCTTACCTCTCTGTCAGCCATAATGGGCACTCCGGTGTTCAATGGATGTTTATTGTCCGAAATAAATTCGATATGACCAGCGAGGTCATACCGAGACCAACTAATCGGATAAGTTACCGGA